TGGTTTGGGTTGGAAGGGATCTTAAAAATCCATTTATTCCACCCCTTGCCATGGGCAGGAACACCTTCTACTATCCCAAGTGGCTCCAAGTCCTGTCCAACCTGGTCTTGGGCACTTCCTGGGATGGCACAACCAGAAATTCCCTGGAAAACCTGTGCCCGCTCCTCACCACCCTCACAGGGAATGAATTCTTCCCAATATCTGACCTCAATTTCCCCTCTGTCAGTCTGACCCCACTCCCCCTTGTCCTGTCATTGCAGTTCCTGATGAAAAGTCCCCCTCCAGCTTCCCTGGAGCCACTCCATATCCTGGAAGGTGCTGTGAGATCTCCACACAACCATTTTTTCTCCTATTCTCTTCCGATTTCTCTGCTATTTTATACAGAGAGGGCAAATATCGCTCCCAGAGGTGCCAGAAACTCCAGTTTGAATTAATTTACCATCAGAGATGCCCTGATTTTATTTGAGTGATCACCTTGGAGACAGGAGAATCCCAACACTGGGGAAAAAACACCAGGAAAAGGCGCGGCAAAACCCTCTGGATCCACCAGCAAACAAACAGCTCAACACCAGGAGGTTGCAGGGTCACAAACTACAGATTTTATTGGTTTTTTCCAGAAAGACTGAAGCAAAACATGATGAAAAGAGTGAAATATCCCACACACCAAGAGGAGAACGAAGAGCAGCACCAGCGCTCACAGGAGGAACTCGCTGGGTGGCAGCTTCAGGGCACATCACAATCACGAGACGAGGGAAGGCAGGAGAAGAAGAGGAGTTCTACAGCTTCTAAGCACAGGAGGAGGAGCGTTTGGGGTGTTATCCATATCCAAATCCGTATCCAAGAGGGAACGAGCCAGGTGGGTTTAGCTGCTGCCGCAGCAGCCACTGCTGCTGCTGCCGCCACAGCAGCCGCTGTTGTTGCTGCTGATGGTGTAGCAGCAGGGCATGCAGCAGGACTGCATGGGCATGCAGCAGGGGGTGCAGCAGCAGGGGCTGCAGCACTGCATGGGGCTGCAGCACATCGGCTTCTTGCAGCACTTGGGGCTGCTGTAGCAGCACATGGTGTAGCTACTTCCGCCACCGCAGCATCCGTTGGGCATCTTGGTGATGGGAGTGGAGGCGAAGCTGGAAGGGAAAGAGAGAGTTTGTCTTTTTCTCTGCTTGAATCTCCCAGAGGCCGAGGCAGCTTAAAGCATTCTTATCCCCAAATCCATCCCAAACCGGCCGGGGATGTGCCTGGTGTCCTGAATCCCAGGACAGACTCCTGTACTTCTGGCATTTTGTCCAGCACTGGTTCTGCCAGAGAGAATCCACCTGGGTGCAGCCCAAAACCAATCTCTGGTCCCCAAAACCAATCTGTGAACCCAAATATTCTGCAGCTTCCAGTCCCAAACCAGACAGCCCAGAAAATCCTGGAGAAGCCTATGGAAAGAGAGTCCCAAAGTAAAGACAAGTAGCAAAGTCCAACTTACCCTGCTGAGCAGTGGAGGGAGGAGAGGAGAAGTCGAGATGAGCGAATGAAGACCCCTGGGCTGGGGAGGCTTTTTATACGCTCCAAAGCCTCCTCCCCTGGAAATGAGGCATCCCTTGGCAATTCCGACCCGGTGGATCACCCGGTGTATCCCCTCACGTGTCTTCCTCCTCCGGTGTTTAATCTCTACCTCTTTCTGTTTGCTCACCACCTCAATTGTGTCCCATAATTACTCCTCCAGAGGAACAACAGATGCAAATTTTCTAATGGATTTGCGTTAATGGCACCGGAGGGAGGGAGCTCTGAGGTATTCCCATCCCTTCCCAAAGAATGACCTTGGGACACAGGGGCGCTTAGCAATGTGCCTGGGGGGAGCCAGGTGCTGAAGCAGTGGGACAACCATGCCTGGAACTTGGAGTTGTCATAGCTCATGTGTCCCCTCTGCCCTTGGCCGGGATTTCTGGGGGCCGGTGGAAATTTTTTGGTCAATGGGAATCCTTTTTTTCCTGCCTCTGTGGTCAAAGTTTAGGCTGAAATTTCCCCTTTCTCAGTCTTGCTCTTGGGCCTCCTTTCAGGGTGCTGGATCCTCACACTCCCTGTTTTGTAATTTTTGTTCTATTATTAAGATTTTTTACATTTTCCTTCATGGAATGGATGGGTTCAGTCTAAAGGAAGCAGCTTTCAAAGCAGCAGTGCACACGGGAGGGGTTTTCCCCGTGTTCGTTCCACACATCCCATTTTCTGACATTATCCCAAAGGTTTCTGGGACTGAGGAGACTTGTGGTGATCACATTTGAGTGAGGAACTGTGGTCACATGCAGAGCAGGGACAGCTCCACGTTAGAAGATGTTGATGGTGTTTCCATGTGATGAGAGGGGCCTCCGGTAAAAGATGGGAATTCCAGGATGCTGAGGCAGCACCAATTCATGGCAAAAAGAAGTTGCCATCACATCCAGAAGACTCTGACTGTGAGGCTGACGTGGTGGCAGGTGATCCCTGGTGACTGGGACAGGATCTGCCTTTCCAGGATGTGACCATGACCTCTTGTGACGTCGGGTGGCCCCTCAGGAATTGTCCCCAGGGGAGCATTGTTTTGGTCACTCAATAATAACCAAGAGTTGCCTGCAGGAAGCAACGTCCTCCTTGTGTAAACCCTCAAACATATACTTTGAATCAATCATTCATCGCATTTTTATCAGGTTTTATTGCTGTCCTGTTGGCCAAGATGATCTTGGTATTGTAGTCATGGAAATACGGAACGATTTGGGTCGGAAGAAACCCCAAAATCATCCAGTCCAACCCTCCTGGATGGGCAGGGATACCTTCCACTATCCCAGGTTGCTTCAAGCCCCATCCAGCCTGGCCTTGGACACATCCAGGGATGGGACACTCATGGAATACCCTGTGCCAGGGCATTGCCACCCTCACAGGATTGGATATTCTTCCAAGGATTTCTTCCCAATATCCCATCTAAACCTGTCTAAACCAATATCCCACCCCACCACTGTCAGTATTTAGAGCATTTTCACTGCTGTTTAATGCCATTTAACCTGTGCTTGGGTCAGAAATAAGATCCCCACAAAGTTCGTTTTATAGGCCACGCCCCATCTTGTGATATTTTTGGAAACTTCCATGGTGGTTCTGTGAGTTTGAGACCTTTGTGAATCTGTTCCTGCGGCTTTTCCAGTGTAGGGTAAAGCCACATTGGATGGAGCTCTGGTCTAGCTGCAGGTGTCCCTGTCCATGGCAAGGGTGTTGGAACAAGGTAGTTTTTGACATCCCTTCCAACCCAAACCCATCCCATGATTCCGTGATTCGAAGATGGAATGAATATTCACAAGATTCCCTAAAGAGAAAGCACTTTATTGAATATTCTGATCTGGGATATCCTTCTGCCCACACATTGTGCCTGATTTACAATAAATAAAAACCCTCCTGAAGACCCAAGCAATGTTTTCAGAGAGTCAAACACGTAGAGAAGATGATTTTAATGCAGGTGTCGCGTGTGAAGGTTGGAGGAAGCAAATCAAGCCAGAGCTCCGGGCATTTTCTCCAGACCTGCAATTCCGAGCTGAGTCCTGCATTTTAATAGCAAAGAAAGTCCCAGCCAGGGAGGGAAGGTATCATTGACTCATGGGTTTGCTATTTTAGGAATGAAGCTTTTAGGTTGGATGCCAACCCCGGGTTTCATTCTTGGCTTGGAATGCGTGGGGGAAACGCTCTGCTCCCATAAAAATTCAACGATTTCGGGGGGTTTCTAAGCTTTTCTTTTTGGAAGATGGTGGTGGGAAGAAGATGCTGCCTGCTGTCCAGTGAGTAGTGAATTCCTCCTGGTACCTATTGGAACACCCCTTCGGAGGTCAGGGGTGAGCTCCTGTGCACCTCACAGCTCTCCACAACTTCCTCCCGAGGGGCAACTCCCATCTCTGTGGTGGGACCAGGGGCAGGATCTGAGGGAATGGCTGGAGCTGTGCCAGGGAAGGTCTAGGTTGGTTATTTCTGGAAAGTTCTTCTCCCAGAGGGTGGTGGGACACTGCCCAGGCTCCCCAGAGAATGGGCACAGCCCCAAGACTGCCAGAGCTCCAGGAGCATTTGGGTAACGCTCTCAGGGGCAGGGTGGGATTTTGGGGTGTCTGTGGAGGGGCAGGAGTTGGGCTCCATGATCCTGGTGGATCCTTTCCAAGTCAGGATATTCAGGGGGTCTCTGATTTATGGAGTGCTGTGTTTTCAGATGATGCTGTTATGCCTTGCCCTTTGAGTTTTAATTACTTCAGCTCTCTGTTCCGTAGTAAATTCTGAGCTGAGGTGAATGCTCAGGAAGGGCAAGGAGGAATCAAGGAATGGTTTGGGCTGGAAAGGATTTAAAGCTCATCCCATTCCTCCCCTTGCCATGAGACACCTCCCACTGTCCCAGGCTGCTCCAAACCCTCCAACCTGGCCTTGGACACTTCCAGGGATCCAGGGGCACCCACAGCTCCTCTGGAAACCCATTCCAGAAGATCAGGAATGCTCCACTTGCTTCAGACATGACCTAATTTGTGCCAAGAGCCCGGACAATTGTTTGTGTCCCCACTGGGGCACACCCAGGACGTTGGCCAAAGATGGTGCCAGAATGAGGACAAACTCTGGGCAAAGTGACAAATCCTGGGCAAGCTGACAAGAACTGGGCAAGGTGACAAATTAAGGGCAAAGCCATGTAAGAACAACCAAAAGACCAAATGTTGTGTTTTGCTTAATGCCAAGTTTTATTGTCTACAAGTCAAGAGAGGAAATGAAGAGTGGTCACAGTGACACCAAAGGTTTCCCAAACACCAAGAGGAGAATTAACACCCCACTAATATCTAATGCCTTATACAATGAGCAGTAAACTCAGGCAGTCAATAATTAAAGACAATCGATAACTAGAGGACAGAAAGAAACATCAGCTTAAGCTTGGAAAGAAGAAGAAAATCGCTATGAATCGGCTCCATCACCATGAGAACCAGAGGCAAACGATCAGCTTTTCACCTCCTTGTGCCCATTCTTGGAGCTCAGCAGGACTTCTTGAGGCTGGCGCAGCACTGCTGGATGGGGATGCAGGGGGTGCAGTACTTCCTCACGGGGGTGCAGCAAACCATCACGGGCTTCTTCACCACGCAGGAGCAGCAGGACAGGGACCCGCAGGGGCTGCAGCAGGGCCGTGGGACACAGCACACGGACTTCTGGCACACCTTGGTGCAGCACACAGACTGGCACGGGTCACAGCAGGACTGGCACGGGTCACAGCACGGCTTCTGGCACGGGTCACAGCAGGACTGGCACGGGTCACAGCAAGGCTTCTGGCACGGGTCACAGCAAGTCTGGCACGGGTCACAGCAAGGCTTCTGGCACGGGTCACAGCAGGACTGGCACGGGTCACAGCAAGGCTTCTGGCACGGGTCACAGCAGCACTGGCACGGGTCACAGCAGGGCTTCTGGCACGGGTCACAGCAGGACTGGCACGGGTCACAGCAAGGCTTCTGGCACGGGTCACAGCAGCACTGGCACGGGTCACAGCAGGGCTTCTGGCATGGATCACAGCAGCAGGACTGCTGGCACGGGGAGCAGCACACGGTCTTGCACGGGCTGCAGCACACAGTCTTACATGGGCTGCAGCACACAGTCTTGCAGGGGCTGCAGCACACAGTCTTACATGGGCTGCAGCACACAGTCTTGCAGGGGCTGCAGCACACGGTCTTGCAGGGGGTGCAGCACACGGTCTTGCTCTTCACGACAGAGCAGCATCCGGTGGAACAGCATCCAGTGGAGCACATGGTGTTGGGAGAGGAGCGAAGGGTGGTCGGAGTGAGGACCTGGAACACAAAGGACTTTGAGATTCAACCCATCTTTCCACACTGCCCAGGCCCTTATCCCACCCTGCTTCCTATTTCTTGTCTTGAGTTGGAAACCCAAGATCCTCACAGGAATCGAACCAACTGTCGCTCTGTCCCAGAGATATTTGTACTCTCCTGGGAGCTGCCTATACTGTGCTCATCCAGGTTGTTCCCTCCCTGAATTTCCACCCTGAGCAGCTCATTTTCCACTGTGCTTTCTCCATCTTTTCCAAGAGTCAACAGATCAACAGCCTCAGAAAAATCTGGATTTCAGGGAGAGCTGTAGCTCATGGAACTCCGTAACACTAAAACCATGGAATTGCAAAACCTTGGAACCGTAAACCCATGGAACCACAAACCCATCCACAAAACCTTGGAACCGTAAATCCATGGCATCACAAAGAAATAGAACCAAAGAACATTTTGGGTCGGAAGGCACCTTTGAAGGTCCATCCAGCCCAACGCCCTGCAGAGATCAGACACAACAACTCAGCCTCAATTCATCGCTTTCCCAAAGCCAAATGAGAACCAAGGATCCCTGGTAGGGAGCACTCACCGTTCTTGTTTTTGCTGAGAGCTGAAGCTGTGTGAGGAGCAGAGGCACCTGGAGACCTTTTATTCAGGTCGGAGTTGTCCTGCCGGACATGAGGTACCCCCCAGCAATCCGTGATTTACGCACTAAGCCTGTACTCATTCACCCCATGGGCCTTCATGTGTTTAGTCTTTGCCTCGTGGCTTTTGACCAACCCTTCAATTTTGGGTTATTATCAATTTGTTGTGTGAATTTTTTACAATTTTTTAATGTCGAGTTAATTCTTGTGGGACGCTCGAAGGCGTTGTTTCTGTTTGCTTTGCATATGGTAAGGCTGCTGCATGGAGATGATTAATTGACATAAAAATCCTAATTAATATTGAGATGCAGTGGATTCCAGAGGCGTGCAGAAGCTTCTGGACGTCAGTTGCTCCTTGATATGATTTTTAAAATAGAATTCCAGGAAGTGCAATTCCATGGTCCCGTGCTTTGCGTCTGAATGCAGAAATGGTGGAGCCCAAAGTCCTTCTCTGGGGCCACCAGAAGGGCAAGCCCAGAAAGTTCTTGAAGTCCCATCCCTCATTGCACCTGTGCATGGGAAAACACCTGGGAATAGAATCATGGAATATCCCAGGCTGGAAGGGACCCACAGGGGCCATCCAGACCAACCCCTGGCCCTGCACCCAAAAATCCAGCCCATGCCCAAGGTCATTGTCCAAACTCTCCTTGAGCTCTCTCAGGCTCAAGGCCTTGCCAATATCAAACATTTTCACTGCAAATACATTGTGGAAATTTGAAACGGGTTTCTGGTCAAATCGGAGCCCGCGTTTTTCCAATTCCTCTTTGGCGCATTTAGATAAAAACAAAATAAAAACCACTCTGGAAGTTTTGCATCCTGTTTATGCTGGGCATAACTTGATCTGCAAAATTCCTATTCAATTCTTTTCAGATTCCAAGATGCCCTGGAGTAATGGAAGAGCCACCCACGGATGTTAATTCTGGAAAAACTCCGTGCTCAGCTCGCAGTCACCCGCTGGCAGCGATTAGTGCTGATGTTAATGATCACGTTGTGATCAGCCATTAATGATGGATGTTAATATCTACTTTGCATAAAAGCTCCGTGTGATGTCCTGAGCATTTCGAGGATCTCAAATTAAACCACGACTTTATTAAAAAATGATCTCTCTCCGTCAGGGGAAATGTTTGGTGTCTGAGGTCACCCACAGGGGTGGAAACGGGGGCTGAGCACTGAAGGACCCCGTGCATTCCTGGAGACCCCTCACTTCTGCTGGGGTGAGGGAGGGGAGATTTAGGCTGTGTTTGCTCATCGAATTCTGGATGATGAGGACACTTTGTGCCACCAGAACCTTCTGTTTGGCTCCTGGTGACACAAATCCTCCGTTTCCCCTCAGTTCGGCTCGTGATGTTTGGCCACGTCACAATTTGAGGAGCTGGTCCTGCTTCCAGGAATTCACAGGACCGTGAAGTCACCACTTCTCCAGGCAAGGCCATCCCAAGGTCAACGTTCCTGTTCCCTTGGAGCTTAATTTCCTATTGGCTTCAGCTCTGTTAATGACCTTGAGCCGGGTGCCACCCATTATCTCCTAATTAGTGATTGACATTTGCACCCGGCTGAGCCCCCACGGCTCTGGGAGATCTGCAGGGGATTCCAGAGCCTCCAGAGAAACTCCAGCATTAGAAATGTGGGACTTCCTGAGCAGGCAGGTGGCGGAAGAGAGTTTGGCCAAAACAAGGCCATTTTATGTTGACTTTGTACGGATTTGGCGCATGGGTTCATCCACTGAGCCAAAAAAACCCCATTGTTGTAGTTGGATGTGAACACCTGAGGAGTTTAAAGATCTGCGAGGTGGATTCATAGATCCAACAGCGATTTCACAGAGGAAAATATTCAAATTAGGACCATAAAAATGTCTCAGTTATATTTTGCTTTGAGTAAAAGGACTGTGCAGGCTCTGAAAGATGCCCAGAGAAGTAGAGCTCTGTTTGTTTGGATTGGAGATCCAGGAAAACATTCCTGAGGCAAATTCCTCACTGTTAATCCCTGGGGGTTTCCTCACAGTTTGTCCAGGTTGTAGAATCCACCGTGTCCTTAGCAGAGCAGAAATGTCCCTTCAGGCCACCTGGAGAAGAGGATTTCTCTTGCCAAATGTTTGTGGTTCTTCGAGGCCTCCTCACCCTCCCAGGGAACAATTTCCTCCTTATATCCCACCCTAAACTCCTCTCTATCACTCTGAAATAATTTCCCTGTGTCCTGTCCCTGCCGTTCAGGAGGAAGAGTCCCTCTCCATCTTCCCTGGAGATCCCTGCAGATCCTGGAGGGGCTCTGGGGTCTCCACAGGCTCAACATTCCCAACATTCCCAACCTGGTCCATGGGGGAAAGGCTCCTTATCAACTTTATGGCCTTCTCCAGATTTGGAAAAGGAAATAAAACGTGCCGTGGTCAGTGATGGAGGAGAAAGTTGGAAGCTGGGGCAGCACAGGGAAGTGAAAGTCTCTGCTTGAAGACCAAACCACTGCTGTGGCCGTGAAACCTCACTAACTCAATTCCCACCTGCAGGCAGGGCAGGAATGAGTAAGAAAATAGTTTTTTCAGGCTCCTGTGAAGCTGAGCCACCTCTTAGCAAGGGCAAGAACCCCCAGGCAGGTGAATCATTCATTGGTCTCTGTCCCGACCTCAACTTTTCCTTTTTAACCCATTCCTCTCTAATGAGCATTTTCTCCAGAACCTATAAATAACTAATTCCAATTGCTTATTGACCAAGTGGTCATTTAGTGGCTATTGCAGCACTCAGCTCATTCCAGGCCGTTTCCCATGCCAGGGATGGGTGATGAGGAATGAATCATGCTGGGGAAACCTTCACTTATTTTACACTGCAGAAACTGGTTAATTGAGGCTGTTCCATGCTCCAAACCCTGCAGGATTTGATTTTATTTTGGTTCCAAAAATAGCAGTGGCTCTGAAAGCAGAAGCACGTGGGGAAAACATGAACACGCAGGCCAGGTGGAAACCTGAACCCCAACAGCTGCTGAGCCCAGGGCAAGGTTTGTTTCCCCCCCGAATTCACCCCACGAGCTCCTCCCAGCCCTGCAGGCATTTTCCATGGATTTCATGTTTTCTTGGCATCCCTCCAGCTCCAGGGATTAAATTATGATTCCAAACCCAGAGGAAAACAGAGATGCCACCACACCACCAGGGAATCCCAGAGAAATCCCAGAGAAAAGAGGTCCCAGGCTACCAAATCCAACCTGTGCCTGATCCCCACCTTGTCACCCAGGCCAGGGCACTGAGTGCCACCTCCAGGCTTCCTCGGACACCTCCAGGGATGGGCACTCCAAACCTCCCCGGGCAGCCCTTTCCAAGGCCTGACCACCCTTTCCATGAGGAAATTCCTCCTGATGTTCCACCAAGCCTCATTTCCTCCTGGCTGAGCCCCACCAGGAGTTCTCCAGACCCTTCTCCTACTGCCCCAGCCCCTTCCCCAGCTCTGTTCCCTTCTCTGCCAAAATCCAGTCCCTCAGTGCCCCTCTTGCCCACCGACCCAGCCCATTTAATGGAGCAGTGACTGAAAACATCCGGGACTGTTTGGTTGGCTTGAAACACCATTTTTATTGTCTTGCTGGAGGATGAAGCAGCAAAGCAAGAAGGGAACCATTCCCAGCATTGGCAGAGGAAAGATAAACAGCTCAGAGTTCCTTAAACCGAGCGGTTTCATCCTGAAACTGCACCACCTCCAGCAGTTTCAGAAGGTTCTTCTTGGAGAGAAGTGACAAAGCTGCAGAGCCACGAGCACTGGGACGAGCTGGAAGCTGCGGGCGAGGAGTGAGCTGGTGCATCCTGGTGCTGGATCCTGCCCTCAGTACTTGGGGTAGGACGGTGGCAGCTTGCAGATGTTCTTGGTGACCTGGGGGCAGACCGGGGGGCAGTAACGCTGCACTGGGGGGCAGCAGGGCTGCACGGGGGGGCAGTAACGCTGCATTGGAGGGTAGCAGGGCTGCACCGGGGCGCAGCAGGGCGTCACGTAGGTGAACTTCTGCACAGGCTGCCTTTGGATGGTGTAGTGGCACGAGGGCCTCGAGTGGCAGGAGCTGGATCCGTGGCAGGAGGAGCGGGATCCGTGGCAGGAGGACTCGTAGTCGTGGCAAGACCCGCGGGAGCACATGGTGCTGGAGTTCTGGCAAAGCTGTTTGGAGCAAGGGATCAATGTGGTGAGAGGAGGCTCTGGCTCTCTTCTTATATCCCCCCCTTTTCTTTTTAATAATATTTTTTCTTGATGTCTCCTGTGAACTGTTTCTCTCCTTTTTTCACCTGCCTAATCCAGACCCAACACCCCCTTCATCCCGCCAGGTCTGCTGGGAGTGCTCTGGGAATTGGGGTCTGAAATCAGG